CTTTATATATACAATTACGTACACTGAATACAATGTGGTTAGTGTAATAGCTGACATGTGCATACAAGTTTATTACTAAAGTAATCGTCTTTCCTTTCTACTCGAATCTATCTGTTCTAATTCAATTGTTTACCTAGACATGTACTGCATTACCGAATCATTCATGGCTATTAGTAGTACGCTAAAATAGCAACATCGATTAAGACTTCAGGAAACAACAACAAGGTCAAAGTGTATTTCATTGAGAAGTTATATTAACTTTTCGGGGTCTCACACAATGAAGAAACAGGGAACCATTCGTTCATTAACTCATTGATCGCTTGAAACATGTTGTAAGAAACACTGCTACGATGCTTTCACCTTATACTAGTGTATGTATCTCATTCTTTTGACTATGTAACATTGTACAGACCTTGGTCTAAACACCTCCAGATGTTTAACCCTGGTTTTTTTTTACTATTTAGTGATCCTTAAACTCATTTTCTTAGAGGAACACTTATATGGCTGTCATAATACAGTGGTGAAACTCATCTCTTCACGCTCCTCGACATAAGAGGTGATTGATTGTGTGAGAGAGTCGATCTCGCGACTTGTTCGACACACTTTATTTCTTATAAAATATTGCATGCATACTACATTTGAACATAAATTCAATAGTATTATATGGAAGAGAATATTATAACAATCAAGTTATTTTACAATACTGAAATATCATCAAATCCTATGCAAACCTAGAGCCTTAACATTTTTTTCAAACAAGTCTCTAGAGATGTCCTTCGTAAAAGGATGAGCTAGCATTTCATGCATAGGATCGTGTTGCAAAGTTTTTTTTTCCACTTTCCACTACATCTCTCACAAATTTATACTTGATGTAAATGTGTTTGGTTTTGATGTGATGCTTCGGATCCTTCGTGTATCCAATGGCCGCTTGACTATCACAATATAGAATCATGGGACCCTTAGAATTCTTTGCAACTTTTAAATGCTCAATGAATCTCTTTAACCAAACAACTTCTTGTACTGTAGACGTAGAAGCCACGAATTTAGATTCCATGGTTGAAAGAGTTGTGCAAGTTTTCTTCTTACTTTTCCATGAATTAGCACCACCATTTAGTAAGAAAGCATAACCAGACATTAATTTTCTATCATTCCGGTCACCAGCCCAATTAGCATCTGTATAACCTCTTATAAATAAATCAGATCCACTATAAGATAGTGTATGATCCCCAGTTCCTTTCAGTTATTGGAATATTCTCTTTACTGCTTTCCAAAGATCTCGATTGGATTGATATCTTCTAACTAGACTCAAGACATAACAAATGTCAGGGCGAGTACACATCATAGCATACATCAAACTTCTAACAACACTAGAATATGGAACTCGAGTCATGTATTCCTTTTTTTTCCCAATCTTTGGACACATTTCAAGGCTTAAAATTTCACCCTTTTCTACGGGAGTATCCATGGATTTTTTACTTTTCATTCGAAAACATTTCGATATTTTCTTTATATAAGTTTCCTGAGATAAACTTAAAAATTTCTTGGAACGATCTCTTTGGAGCTTTACCCCAATATATAGTATGTTTCACCCATATCTTTCATATCAAATGATTTTGAAAGCCATGACTTGATGGTTTTTACATACTCCAAATTATTTCAAGCTAATAAAATATCATCTAGGTAAAGAGAAAGAATTATAAAATTTTCATAGAACTTTTTCACATAGATGCAATTCTCTTCTTTGATCATGATAAAATCAAATGACATCACCTGCTAATTATGAAATCTCAGGTACCATTGCCTTGAAGATTGCTTTAGGCCTAAATTGATCTTTTCAATTTACAAACATTCTTTTCTTGGCCTTTGATAATGAAACCTACTAGTTGTTCCATGTAGATTTCCTTGTTCAATTCTCCATTGAGAAAAATGGTTTTTACATCCATTTGATGTAATTCTAGATCTAAACGCGCAACAATAGCTAAAAGTGTTGGAGACTAGAGTAAAAAGGCATAATTGTTATAGCATTAGGAGTATGTATTGCATTAGGAGTGTAAGTGTTGTTATGTAATACTAGTAAGAGTTAACTTACAAAGTAGAATTCAAGTAGAACTCTCCTATATTTTAACCTGCCAACAACCTATATAAGGAGGTACCGTGTAGTAGTTTTACACACAAAATATATCAATATTATCGAGCTCTTCTTTTCCTTTCTGTACTGTGTTTTCTACATGGTATCAGAGTAGTAAAAAAAAAATCAATACTGCGCAATCAAACCCACAAAAATCTCGTAACAATTGCCTTAAACACAACTTTCATGTCCGTATCAACTTCCTGCATCATCTTATTGCTGCTTATCCAGTCAAGCTTAAGCCTACTAACTACTTGATATGGATAACTCATATCATGCAGCTTATGCAGGTCATGAAAGTAACCAAATTGATCAAAGGAGAGAGACAATCAATTACCACAAATGGGAAGGAAAAAATTATTGAAGGCAAGGAGAAAGAAGATTTGGAGAGTCTTTGGGAAGAGAAAGATTTGTTGTTGAGTCTTCGGGAAGAGAAAGATGTGTTGTTGAGAACATGGATCTCAGGGACTATGACTGAGGAGAGCATGTATCTCATTGTCGGTTGTTCGAAAGCCCAAGAGATGTGGGAATGCTTAGAAGAAACATATCTTCAAGCAACTAAAGACAAGGAATTTCAACTCAAACAACAACTCCAGAACATCAAGTTGGGAGCCAAAAAACTTGATGAGTATCTGAAAGAGTTCAAAGAAATATGTGATGGCCTTGCATCCATTCATAAACCTCTTGATGAGGAAAGAAAAGGAATCAACTTTGCTCGAGGTGTAGACCTTAAATATAAGACCTTCAGGACTGTTATGCTTGGAAAGGCACCATATTCCACACTCAACCATTTTGCCAATGCTCTTAGAGGCTTTGACATGAGAGAAGATGATGAGGAAGTGCCATTGGAGAATCATAACATGGCGTTTTCTGCACAAAGAGGTAGAGGTAGAGGTAGAAGAGGCTATAATCACAATCAGAATAGAGGCAACTCTAACTATAACTCAAGAGGAAGAAGTTTCAAACCTGCTGGACAGGGAAACTATAGTCAAAATAATTAGAATATGCAGGCATCAAACCACGTGAAAGACAAGGACTTAGCCTCCAATGCTTGCCAAATCTGTGGAAAGAATAACCACACTACAATCAAGTGCTTCTATAGATGGGACAACTCATATCAAACTGTAGAAGACCTCCCACAAGCCTTAGCAACAGTCAATTTTCAAGATACACAGACTGAGGACAATGCTATGTATGTTAAATCTGGAGCAACCAACCACCTAACTAACAACAAAGGCAACTTATCTGATCTGAAGAGTTACAATGGAACAAATAATAATTATTGGTAATGGATCTCGTCTAAACATTACACATGTTGGGAATACAACAAGGTCAGGTATGAAGGTTAACGAGATACTAGTAGTTCCTGATATTAATAAAAAATTATTAACTATTAGCAAGCTAGCAAAAGACAATTGTTGCACCCTTGAGTTTGATGAATCTGATTTTGTTGTTAAGGACAAGAAGTCAGGGAAGCAACTGGCCAAAGGAACTAAGAAAGGAGGACTCTATGCACTTGAAGATAACAACATTTATGCTTTGATAGCAACCTTGGACTGGAGAAAGACAAATTGCATTTGGCATGCTAGATTAGGTCACCCTAGTTTGAATTCTTACTATTTTTAAATAGAAATAACCATATAGATGTTAAGAGTTGGAATAAAGTGCCTACCATTTGTACTTGCTGTCAGATAGGGAAAAGTTGTAAGCTTCCTTTTGCATTGAGAAATAAAATTGAGAAGGAACAATTATTCAAAATTCATTGTGCTCTTTGGGGTACAACCCCTATTGAATCTTCTCAACACATGAAGTACTATGTATTGTTTGTGGATGATAATACTAGATACACCTGGTTGTATCCAATAAAAAAGAAGTTTGAGTTTTTTGAGATTTTATGTACGTTTCAGAAAATGGTTGAAAAACAGTTTTCAAGATCAATTAAAATCTTTCAATGTGATGGAGGTGGTGAGTTCATCAACAATGAATTCATTAAACACTTTGAAAACTATGGAAATATAAGACAATTGTCATGTCCAAATACTCCTGAACAAAATGGAATCTTTGAAAGAAAACATAGGCATAGAGTAGAAACTGGTCTCACTTTACTCTTTCATGCAAAACTACCTATGTTCTTGGGGGTGGAAGCTTTTTTCACTGCTGTATTCTTGATAAACAGACTACTATCCTCGGTTCTGAAGAATGAGATACCTTTTGTCAAACTTCATGGAGCATCTCGAGATTACAATAGTTTGAAAGTTTTTGGATGCAGATGTTATCCACACCTGAAGGGATAATCAAAGTTTGCACCTAAACTTACCCATGTGTGTTTGTTGGCTATAGCAGTTTACACAAAGGCTATAGGTGCTACCAACCATCCACAAAAAAGGTTTTTATATCAATACATGTGATTTTTGATAAGCATTTGCTTCCTTATGTGCAACCTGCATAATCCTCCCTGAACACCTCTACTCACCTAACTACTTTTCTTGAGTTTTTCTTTACTATGCAGGATCACTCTCCAACAGATGGTGGTTCAACTTTAGGGGAAGTGTTGCCAAAACCTCCCAACATTGATGGTGTAGATTCAAATCATGTTGATCCTGATGATGTGCTACCAGATAGTACTCATGATCCAGAAAACATCTCTGATGGTGAAAGTGATAATTGTGTTGATGATCTAGAAAATGCATTGGCAAGTCAGGATGCAACTGAAGTTCTGGAACATAACCACATCCTAGTGCGTACTACACAAGGTATAAACCTGGAAGGTGACCTATTAGGTTAGTTTAATGAAGAGATACATCAAAATTTGGAATCTACAAGCAGGACTGCAGAGCCACAAACCTCTAGCACTACAGAAGAACATCATATGATGACTAGATTAAAGGCAAAAAATGTTTCAACCCCTCGCACAACTTTAGTAGGTATTGCTGAGCCAACAATTGTGGATCAAGCACTAAAGGTTCCACTGTGGTATGCAACTATGAAAGAAGATATTAATGTCTTACATGAAAATCAAACATGGACCTTGGTACCTAAAATAACAAAAATGAATGTGGTTGGATCAAGATGGGTATTCAAGACCGAGTTAAAATCAGATGGTAATATAGACAGACATAAAGCTAGGTTGGTTGTGAAAGGATACTCTCAGCTTGAAGGAATTGATTTTGAAGAAACTTTTAGTCCTGTAGTTAAGGTTACCACTATAAGGGTAGTGTTATCCGCTGCTGTTAGTCTAAAATGGCCTATTAGACAACTATTGATGTCAAAAATGCCTTTCTACATGGGCATCTACAGGAAGAAGTCTATATGGCACAACCTCCGGGTTTTGTTGATCCTCAGTATCCAAGCATGTTTGTTTTTTGAAGAAAGCACTATATGGCCTCAAGCAGGCACCTGAAAGGTTCAGCATGTTCCTTCTGCACCTTGGGTTCAAATGTAGTAGAGCAGACTCATCCTTATTTGTACTTCATTGCAAAAGTGGTAATATCCTGCTTCTTTTGTATGTAGATGATATACTGATTGCATGAAGCTCCCATGTTCATATTTAAGAAATAATTGTTTCTCTTGGGAAGGAGTTTGCAATGAAGGATCTTGGTCCTCTTCAATTCTTTCTTGGGATTGAGGTTACATACTTTGATGAAGGTATTCACCTAAATCAATGTAAATACGCCACTGAACTCCTCAAGAAAACTAATATGGCCATGGCTAGAGCAGTAAATACACCACTTGAACAAAAGCATGACCTATAGGAAACTCAAGGAAGTTCTGTAGATGCCTCAATTTATAGAAGTATTGTGGGTAGTCTGTAGTATCTCACACTAACTAGGCCTGATATAACTCATGCAGTAAATCTCACAAGTCAGTTCATGTAGAATCCAAACGGTGAGCACTTTCACACTGTAAAGAGGATTCTTAGATATGTGAGATAGACAGTTCAACTTGGACTTAGGCTAATTACAAAGTCACCTCTAAGGCTGTGTGGATACTCTGGTGCAGATTGGGGAGGTTGTTCTACAACAAGACGATCAACTACAAGTTATACAATATACTTAGGAGCTAACTGCATTTCATGGGCATCAAAGAAACAACATACAGTTTCCAGGTCAAGTGCTGAAGCTGAATATAGAGCACTAACCTCCACTACAGTCGAGATTACATGAATCACCTATATACTCAAAGATATTAGCGTCACACTTACCACAACTCCAATACTATTTTGTGATAATCTTAGTGCACTTTACATGACTGTGAATCCAGTATTGCATGCTAGGACTAAACATGTGGAGATGGACTATCACTTTGTTAGAGAAAAGGTGGCAAGGGGACAACTCATAACACATTTTGTTCGATCACAAGATCAGCTAGCTGACATACACACCAAGGCACTTACAAAGCAACAATTTGCAGCTTTTCGAAGCAAGCTAGGAGTGGTTAATCCACCTCTCACTAGCTTGAGGGGAAGTGTTGGAGACTAGCGTAAAAAAATAGAATTGTGATAGCATTAGGAGTATGTATTGCATTAGGAGTGTAAGTGTTGTTAAGTATTACTAGTAAGAGTTAACTTACAAAGTAGAATTCAAGTAGAACTCTCCTATATTGTAACCTTCCAACAACCTATATAAGGAGGTATTGTGCAGTAGTTTTACACACAAAATATATCGATATTATTGAGCTCTTCTTTTCCTTTCTGTATTGTGTTTTCTACAAAAAAGTACTCGTATGAAGGTAAACTTCTCAACGGTGAAAAAGTTTCCTCATAATCTATTCCAACTTCTTCGGTAAAACCTTTTGTCACCAATCGTGCTTTGTGTCTTTCTAATGACACATTTGATTTTCGTTTAACTTTGAGAATCCATTTATTCCCAATAGCTTTACGTTCCTTAGGAAGGTCAACTAGATTCATACTTTGTTGATTTTCATGGACTCTAATTCTTCTTTCATCGCTTTTAACTATTAATCCCTTTTAGGGCTTGATAAAGCCTCGGTTAGAAAATTAGGTTCATCTAATTCTTGTACCAATTTGGCACCTGTTTGGGCACTACTTGCATTGGATATTTGCTTATAACATCAAATGTAACTAATACAAAACTGTAAAAAAAAATGTTACTGAGATGTTTAAAAGAGTAAGATAAAATTGCATTGTAATGCTAAGCTAAATATTACTTTTAGTGGTTAAAAAAATATATTAAGAAGTCAAAAAGATTATGTGGGACAAGACGAAGCAAATTTATGCGCGGCAGAGTGGAATGAGTTGAAAATAACAATATGCTATGTGGAGCGAGACGGGCCGGGGCGGGCGAATTGAAATCTAGCCTTGCTTCACAATTATCACTACATCAAAAATGATCTTTATCGATAATTAATTAATGTCAATAGTTTAATTGCTGTTAAGTGTATTTTTTAGAGACATTTAGCGCTCTTTGTAAAGCATATATCGACATTGAATCCAGTGGCAATTAACTAATTATACAAATACAAATTTTGACATGTTTTATTAATATGCATTATTAATTGTTGCTAAAACTTATTCTTGTTATAATTCACCCATTTACTACCCCTAATTCGACTAATAAAATTTTACCAATTCTCTCACAACCATCACCACCGGGAAAAAAGAAGAAAAAAGAACAAAATGAGTATTTGCACATAGTGCAGTATGGACTATGGTTAAATATTACAAAAATTGTGTAAAAGCGTATTACCTATTTATTGGATTAATATAAATATTGAATATGAATAGTTTTTTATCGTTTTATCCTATTAATTATAAGACCGATCAATACTGACATAGTGCATTTAAAGGAAATTGTGGTTTGATGGAAATGCTGAGAGATAAGTGATTATCGCTCTCTTCGTCATTTCATATTATTTGATTCATGTTAACCTGACACTCTTATTTAAATTATTAAAGGTAGTATAAAGAAAAGTAATATAACTATTTTAATTTGTTAAAATGGAAAAGTAAAATAATTAAAATTTATTTATAATATAAAAAATAAGTAAAATAAAACAAAGTAATACATCAAAAAGACGTAAACATTTAAAAAAATGTGCTTCTTTGTTTTGTAATTATGAATATGAATTCTGGACATAGGCATGCAGTGCATGAATTAGTGATGGACAACTTGTAAAATTAATTTTCACACCCAACTTTCTATTTGCACTGAAAGTCAGAAAGTGAAATATCACGGAGTACAATACATGCTTCCCCATTTTATATCAACTGAATTTTTTAGATTCTTTTTATTGTTCAAAATTATTGAATTATTTAAGTTCAAGATGGATCTTTGAATTTTTTTTATATTTAGGATAACCTTTTTTTAGGAAGACAAAATAAAAAAGAAAAGATGTCACATAAAATAAGAAGGAGAAAGTACTAATTTTTACTACCCATCCCACTCCAAAAAAAAAGGAACAAAATGAGTATTTTGCCCGTATATTAGTACGAACTATGGTTAAATATTTAAAATACATGTGTAAACACACATTATATATTTAATATATTTATTAACTATGTATATATATATATTATTAGATTGGTCAATACAGGCAAAATGCATTTAAAGGGGAGTGTATTTTGCTGGGAATACGGGAGACGTAAGTAATTATTTTCTTCACCGTTTTATATTATTTGATTTATGTTAATTTGACATTTTCCTTAATTGGAGCTACACTCATATTTTCTATTTCATATTAATCGTTATATATTTTTTATACGTTATTTAAAAATCATGAATAAAAAATGATATTTTTAAAACTAATTTCCTTTAACTTTTTTTAATAAATTTTAAGATTAGATTTTCACTTTCAAGGACAATTCATTTTAAAGGGAAAACAGAAAAAAATTACTCCCTTCATCTACTTTTACCTTTCTACTATACTAAAAAGAGATCAATTTTAGAAAATCAAAAAATAATTTTGTAGGAAATTTCTATTCACCAAGTGAAAAGAAGTCTTTGGGTGAAAATCCAAGTGAAATGCAAATTATTAGCTTCTTTTAAGAAGAAAATGCAAAGAGAAGATTCAAAGCGAAAAGAATGAGTTTCTAAAGGAAAAAAGTATTTGAAATTCGGGGTGCGTTTGTAGACAATAAAATTTGCGTCGAGAAAATAATAATCAAGAATGGAAAATTATAGCAACAATCGTATTTATTATTTCAAAATGCGAGTGTTACAATCTCTATGATTCCTCTGAATTCGCTTTTTCAAATATGAATTCAAGCGCTTTAACGCTTGTTCGAATCTTCGATGGATTTGAAGTTTGAACTTTATCTGGATCTTGACTTTTACTTGAATTCAAGGCTTCAAGCTTGTTTTTGAATCCGATGGTCTTGATCTTGATCGTTCTTGAACTTGAATGCTTGAATTCTTAAACTTGTAGCTTTATAGAGAATTTTATGGCATTTGTACCACGGATTTTCTCTAACTTCTTGTTTAAAATTTTCTGTCTTCTTTCTGAATTATGAAGACTCCTATTTATAGTTTTAGAACAGAGGAGTTGCGATTGGAATAGGATTCCCTTCGGCCAATCAGATTTAAGTGACATGACATATGGGCTTTATGGAGCGGGCTTGTCATCTTTGACACATGTCATGATCCTATTCGCTTCCTGTTTGACTTGGCATGCCATGTCATTTGCCATGTGGCACCAAAAGAATGGGCCTCTTAGGATAAGATGACATTGGACTTAGTAAATTGGGCTCATCTATAGCTCAAATCAATTAATTTTGACTTTAATCAAATTCATATTTATTGGACTTGAATAATTAGCCCAATTATATTAATCTATAATTTATTTGGGCTAATATATTTATGAATTTAATATATTCCGAATCATTTTATAAATTTATATTTAATAAATTTTAAATGATTACAAATGTCCCCTGCTTCAAGTCTTGTCGAGACATTTTTTTTAAAAGACTAGGCTTGAAGTATTGACAGATTATTAAATCGTTTTTAATTAAATTATATCTATATTATTATCCGTGCCATGTACTGCTAGCACTCTCAATGTATATTTACCATTATTATATATGTATATATATATAATAAAATAAATGATTTGTACCATATCATATAAGGTGTTGCTAATGATCATTTGATCTCGTGCAAATATGTGGGACTCATATATACTCTCCCTATTTTACTCGAATTGGGAGCCACATATACATATTCCTTATCCTATTTGAATTGTGCCAAAGGCACCGCCTTGCTGTCAGCAGATATGAGGCAATTTACCGCAAATCCTTTTCTTACTTGACTTTAAGAATTGCCGCTTGGTAAAAAAAATAAATTATAATTGAATTAGGAATTCTGAACCAACTCAATTTTATATTCATATATCAAAAAAATTATAATTGAACTAGGAAAAAGATTTTAAATCCAAATGTACTTCAAA